CGCGGTCGCGACCATGGGCTAATTTAAACGTAATGGCCAAGTCCCAACCTCGTCTGGAGACATGTGTACGCTCAGTTTCAGCCAATTCAGTTGAGTCTCTGTGTCCCTCCCACGTCCACGCAGCGTATAATTTAAATGTTTCTGGCTGTAGCTGCTGAGGAGCTCCCGAGGTAAAAAGCAGTTTTGGTTTGTGTACCGCTTAAGATGGAGACAGGGAAACAAATCATTCAGAGGAAAGTTGTTTTTTTCTTTTGAGCTTGAAATGTGGAGGAGCATGTTCTGCTTCCTTCTGCTTTGTTTAAAATTACAGTGACTTTTCTGCAGAATCTTTTGCGGGAGGAAAGAGAAAAGCGATTCCCCCGGGAGATAGGTGGACTGTGTCTGTGTGTGTCTGTGTGTGTCTGTGTGTGTCTGTGTGTGTCTGTGTGTGTCTGTGTGTGTCTGTGTGTGTCTGTGTGTGTCTGTGTGTGCGTGTGGACTGATGAACTCAGAAATATTTAGGAATGACCTACTAACACACAGCTGTAACATCTGCTAATGCACACACACACCCACGCACATGTGCAGATTGTGTAAACGCCTGCTGTGTCCTGCAGAGGCATCAAATAGAGAAAGTTCTTTCTACACCTGCGTTCATCCCACAAATGTTTCAGCATTCAGTTTAATTGACCTGCTTTTGTAAAGAGGTGAAAGAGAGGTGAAGAAAGAGAAGCAGCTCTGAACAGGCTGCTGATGGATGGACGGCTGAACGTCCCCTGGACGCCCACAGGCTTTTCTCTAACTGTGCTCCGTATCACGTAGCAGCGCTCTCTCTCTCTGACAGGGAGGAATGCTGAACGAGTGTTTGAAGGAGGGCAGGAAGGACACAATGAAAGGGAGAGTGACAGGTGAGAAGAGAACAAATCAAGCGAGGAAGTCGACAGGAAAGAGAAAGGAGGACGGTAAAGATGAAAGTGGTGAAAACAGTAAAGTTAAGATGTTTCTAGAGACGTGCGTGAAAACTTTCTTTAAATGATCTCGATCAGACTGGATGGAAAGATGGACGACGTGACAGCTCCGAAAAAGTGAACCGAATAATCGTGATTGCCCCCTGGTGGCTGGCTGCCTTATAGGCCATGAACCCTGCCTCCTCCAGGTTTGCAGAGGGGACATGGACTATCACAAAAATTGTATTACGCATCAAGTAATTTTTCCCAAAGATGGTCACGTACAGTCTTGTGTCCAAATATCTCACTGGCTCCAATGACGTCCAAAGTGCAAGATAGCGGCACCCATGTCTGCGATATTTCAGCTCAAGGGGGTGGAGGAATTAGTCATGAGACATTGGAAGGTTTTGGGGATTTTGCATGTTTATTTTTGCTATCGCTGCTGGTTTTAGCTCCATATGAGTGAATATAGATACTGCTTTAAAGTCTCTTGATAAAAGTAACGTCACGTTTCTGCTTCATGTGTCACACGAGGTCACGTGCAGCGTTTGTGGGGGACACACTGATGTTGTGTAACTGCAGGTTATGGATAGCAGAGATGGCTGAGAATTACCCATAATCCAAAGAAAAGTATTGCCTCCGGGCTTTCATACAGCAGTCATTAGTGCAAGTGGTGCACTTTCAGAGGAGATAAAACCAGGAGGAAAATGTTGCATCTGCTCTCTGGTAACAACAAGAAGAGATTAACTTTTCCATATTGCCAGCATGAAATAACCGTGGACCTCATTACGTTATATAACAACTGAAAATTCAGCTCTCATCAGAATAAATCAAGCATCAGTGGCAGTTTTATTGCACTGCTCAAAAATCTCCATCTTATCAAGAGACAGGTTGATAAAAGTTGAAAATGCAGTAGATTTAAACCATCTCGCCCTCTTTGAAGACAACTTTTACGAGACTTTTCCTACTGGACCCCCTCATGAAAATTCCAGAAAATGCCAGAATCAACCATAACACACAGAAGACACAGACAAAGACGTCAACGTGGAAAGTCCCCAAGAGTTTTTGATGATAAGGGCCGACGCAGGTGTTGATTTGCTTAATTTCCATTACCCAGACACCACCCCTCCCTTGACCGTTTCAGACATTTTCCTGTTGTTGTGAATACGTCTGACCCGAGCTCACGTGAGAAAACGTCTCAGCCTTCTGCAAAAAGCTTCATACTTTTCGAGGTTTGGTTCAAAGTCCTTTGAAACACTTCTAACTTCATAATGTGCAAAATGACTGTGCAGCCTGAGTGTGCAGTGTTTAACAAAACTCTTCCTCTGAGCAGTGACTCATTAACTGCATGTGGACACCTCACACACACACACACACACACACACACACACACACACACACACACACACACACACAGACAACATCTGGCCCACAAACAAACAGAGAGAGGCCCTAAAGTCTGTTTGTCTCCACCGTGTTTTCCATAGTGTCATGGTGTCGCAGAGGCCGAATGGCGACAGGGAAAAACATCTCATTTATAAACACAGCAGGCGAATTCTACTGGAAATTTCCCAGCGTCTCTGAGTCCCTCCGGCGTTCTCTGCGAGTTTGTTTCACAGGACGTCACGTTATTTGGTAAATTTCTTGTCTGTTTAGACTGATCCGATAATTCCTGTAAAGCACCGTCATTGTCAGCGTGTTGCAAAACTGAGCTGGTTGAAGCAATAACTCAAACGTATTGGTTAATCTCTGCAAAATGTGTTGGTCGCGTTGCAAGCTGAGATGATGATGATTATTATCCTAGAAGAAATTCAAAAGAAAAGTTACTGCACAAAACTCCTACTCTGCCGTTCCCACCCAATAAAAGCGAAACACATGACGTCAGGTGTTTTCTCAGAATGCATATTCTTGTGTAGGCGTTGGAGCGACGATATCAGGAACAAACAAATGAACACAGACTTTTCTCAAGACTGAAAATAAGCACACACACAAAATGATTTTGGTCACAGGGTCACAAAGTGATTCAGGCTGCAGCTACAGTAACAGCAACCGCATGTTTGTTTCAGCACAACAGTACATCAAGTTTAATCAATGTTCAAATGCTCGTGAATTGGTTTGAATGTGTTTGTGTCTAATTAGGTGCATGTGTGTGTCTGTGTGTGAGTGTGTGTGTCTGTGTGTGAGTGTGTGTGTCTGTGTGTGAGTGTGTGTCTGTGTGTGTGTTTCATACGTTCCACTAAACAAATGTGTGAGTTTGAATTCGTGCTGACTTAGACACTGCAGAACATTTTGCATCCTCCCTGTGGAGCTGCTTCAACAAATGAACTTCTGCATAAACAAAATCCAAATGTGCAACAATGAAAGCGAGCAGTCAGCAGCTGGAAGGTAAAAAGGGTTCATGCTGTAACCGTGCGGCGTCTCCTCCTTGCAGGTGTGCGAGCTGGTCCGGTTCCTCATAGAGAACTGCAGCAGCGTCCTGGGAGAAGACGTCACCTCGCTGTTCAGAAACTTCAGCCAGAAGAGCAGCAGCAGTGACCACGGATCAGGTGAGAGAATGAAGGGAACAGGGCAGAACGGGAGCGCAGAGATAATCAAGTGTGTGAAGCACGAGGACAAAAATAGAAAGTGAGCGAAAACATGGACAGAGTTTCACCAAGTTGTTCTTTTCTTCATGAAACCACTGAAATAAAAAACTCCACCACGTTGTTAATATCAGCTCATAAATCCAACGATGACATTTCAAACTGTTTTGAGAATTTGTGGAGATAAGTGGTTGAGAAGGTCGACATGAAACTATGGGAATAGTTTGTGAAATTTAAATATGAATCCTCAACTATCTAATCATCTGCAATACATAATACTGAATAAATATGTACTATATATAATGTGTGTGTCAACAGACCCTTGAATTGTTTTCTCAAAGTTCACCAACAGTGCTTCAGTGTGCTACACACACACACACACACACACACACAGACGTTCTAACAAGGTGGTTTGACATTGACTGTCTAACCTTGTGTGTGTGTGTGTGCGCCACTGAATGGCGGAGGCTCTTTCAGGCCTGTTGATTGGGGTCAGCAGATTGACCCGCTGTAATTTCAGTGATTGCCAGGGTCACAGGTGCAGATTAACACGCCATTGAATCTCCGCATTCATAAATAGCGCCAACTTTTCTTCCCGGCTCTATAAATAACCACGCGAGGTCAAGGAGCTCACAGCAGGACGGCGCTTTGTCCTCTGTTCTCTCCGTCTCCAGCGGTGAACCGTGACTTTGTTCATTCAGCTCACGGGTCAAGATACTGCTCTCACTGTTTCAACTTTGCGGATAAAGTTTTTATTGAGACACCGAATTCGGGAGTTGTAGTTGTAGCAGCGTCCATTGTAGTAAATTGTAAAGACGTCCACTTGAAAGGGAATGTATGTCAGAGCTTTATGATCATAGGGCTACGTTACTGTTACAGGAACATAATAATTAAGTCTTTATTTATTAAATTATTGTTTTTTGTCAAGTTTTTTGTTGTTTTCTTGTTTAAACATAAAATAATATCTCTTTCTCCTCTTCCCTCTTCATCTTCCTCCCTCCATCTTGCTTTCTTCTCTTTCAAGACGCGTCGTCCTTCCAGTTGAACGACTCGTCCTACGACAGTCTGGAGAACGAGCTGAACGATGACCCGGAGTCTCCCTTCCAGGAGCAGCTGCCGCTCCGTGACAAGGACAAGCCTGACAGCCGCAGCCGCGACTCCGTCATTACCCTCAGTGACTGCGACCCCGACCCCGACCCCGAGAGTGACCTCCTGCTGCAGCTCCCCCCGCTGGCCAGACCCAGGAGGTTCAGCCCTGCAGTTCGACAGCCTCGCACCCGCGAGGTTAATGGCATGTCGCATGGTCCCAGGAGGCTGAGGAGGAGTTCGGAGCCCGCCCTGGCCCTGGCGAGTACGCCGCCGTCAGGCACTGTGATGGCTCACGCTGCTCATCTGCCTATAAGGAAGGCGAGCTATGATGCCGCCATGGAAGGGGAGCGGGAGGAGGAGGAGAATGAGGTGTTTCTGGATCAGAGACTGAACGGGCTTCAGCTGAAGGAGGAGGGGGAGGATGGATGTGAGAAGGGAGGAGCCAAAGTCCAGAACGGAGGCTGGAGGAAGGTGAAGCACACAGCTCCGCCTCCACTGCGATTGGACGCCAGCTGTTCCAGTCTGTCGTCTCCTGCCACCTCACCCACAGGCTCCTCGCTAAGCTCTTTAGACTCCGCCTTCTCGCAGTATTCTACTGACTACGCCACCAATGGGATGATTCCATTGGCTGAGCCTCCTCCTCTCTCCCCTCTCTATCCTGGGCGGCCCCAGCTGTCACCCCGGGGCTCCCCCCCTCAGAGGGAAGCCACTCATTGTCCACAGCCCACCCAGCCCGTCCGGACCACTCAGAACACCTCCCACCCCCACGGCCTCCACCCTAACACATGGCTCAAGAGGGACCGCCGCCTGTCACTCAAGCAGTCTGATAACGGACACACGGAGGAGGACTTGCCTGTGTTCAATGGGAAAACCAACCCAACCGGTAATGGCTACTCCGTCGGTACGCAGGAGGCGACGGGAATGAATCGAAACTGCCAGCGGAGATCCAGCAGTCCTCCGTCCTACCAGCAGGCTCTGCAGCAGCTGCAGTGCAATCGCTCGCCTTTCTACAAGGGGACTGAGAAGCCCCTGACGGTCAAAGAGCTGAGGCAGCTCCACGACCAGACCTGTACCCAGAGACCCCCGACCTCTTCTGATAACCCCAAACCACCCATAGGATGTGAGGCCACACAGAAACTGGCTGGAAACAAGTGTGTTCAGCCCCCGCAGGGTGTTTTCTATGGACAGAGCGGCACCACTCTTGTCCTTCATAGGCAAAAGTCTTACTCTCTCACTCCAGACACAGAAGGACACAGAGGAAAGACACTTCCCCTCCCTCGTCGTGCGTCTGAGCCCAACAAGCTGACTGCAAACTCCTCTCACCCATCCTCCACTCTTAGCCTGAACAGACCTCGAATTTTTAAGGGTCAGGCTCAGGATGGCGGCCTGAGAGTATCAGACGTAGAGCCCAACCATGCCGAGCCACGCTTCTGCCTGTCTCCCTCCGCCACCCGGACTGTAAGGGACTACTTTTCCTCCCAGGATCAGGAGGATGCAGACACCTGCTTACGGAGGAGTCAGGAGGTGGCGCTGGCGATAGTGCAGGGGAAGAGGGAGTGGCAGAATAGGCGATGCAGTGACCCGCGAGTCGACGACTTCGAGCAGCTTTTTTTCGCAGAAGAGTCATATGTTTAAATAAGAAGATTGTACAAACAAACTGTGTATGAGAGATTGAATTTATAAAACTGTTGTTATTATAAATGTGATTATATTCCTTCATATACTCCATCTGGCAGCAGTGGTTAACCCAATGCAACAAAAAGTCGGTTTACTGCAACGGTACATCCCCAAATCATAAACGGTCTCCTCATGGGAATAATCTGTATATTGTAACAAACATCTGGCAAAAGTACAATGAAAGTTTTGCTGGTAATAATCCCTAAAATTTCACGGAAAACATTTAATAGACACATTTTTTCAATGATGTTACTTTGAAGATCCTCAAAAATGTATTTATTGAGTATTGATGCCCAATTTGTGAGAAACAAAAAAGTTAAACTCAACATCTGGATTCCTTAAACGTCAGTCACGGTGCTGTCAGCACAGGTTAAGTTACACTCCTCTGAGAAACACGTGTTCTCTGACCGTGTGTCCTCGCTTTACCTTCAGAATGTGAAATAATGAGGGAAGAGGAGAAAAAGAAAGAATGAGGAAGTCTTATTTGATTCTGGTTCTAATGTAAAAAGGACACAACCAGAGGTAACAGATGTTTTAAAGGCTGCAAGAGCACAACTGTTCGTTACTGCTGCTCTGGGCAATAGTGACAATAAGGTCAAGACGATCTGACGCAGACACTTTCCCGTGATGTTTGCTGCAGTGCCAGAGGAGGAAAACACAGATGTCTCCCGTTGTACATACTTAAAAAACTCAATATATCGCAGAGTATTTTAGATAGCAAGTCCACCTTTAATGACCGATTACATCTGTTGAGTGAACTGTTGCTTTTCTTGTGAAGTGTTTATACATCTGAGTTGGTGGAATCAATGGGGCCGGTATTTATTCGGATGAGCTGAGTTTCCAGGCGCACACCAGGCAGTGATGTCCTCTGCAGCTCTGGCTCATGTCTCTGTCACCTGTGAGAGGAGGGGAAGGGTGGGGGAGGAAGAATATGATGTGTGTGTGTGTGTGTGCTTGTGTGAGTCTCCTGAGTAAGACGTGATCATCGTCGGCCTGTCCTGAGCAGGAATGTGAGAAAACTTGTGCCACTGAGGGAAAAGTCTCTTTAATTCTTGCTTTCATAGCACTTCAACAGTCTCACCGAGAAACCCTGTTCGTCTCACAGGAATGTGAAGGATATGGCCTGCGTGTGCGTGTGCGTGTTTGTGTGTGTGTTGAATGCACAAACAGTCCCTGTAGCTGTCGTACGTTTGTTCATAATAATATGATGATGTTGCAGTGTTGATTTCTGAAGTGACACTTAACAATTAATGACCTTATTTCACTGTGTATTACTGCAAAGTGTGTGGATGCAAACCTGTAGGTGATGCAGTACTTTCACAGTGTTACTATGAACTGAACTTCTCCACACAACAACACTCTGGAATAAGGTCATTGTTATGTGAAGTGTTTCCATTTTAAATGGTGTCAAAATGTACTTTAATCCTGTTTCATTAATATTTTAATTCCTCTCTCCATTACAGTGAATTGTGTCCAACATGTATAGCTCTGCATATTTATGATATAGAAATATATATATATAAATACATATAAATATATTATCTTGTTCCTTTGGTATGTTGTGTTGTGTAAGAAAATCATATGTGTATTTTTGTACATGCCAATTCTGCTGCTGCTGTCTCTATAGAAAGTATATTTGCTACAAAATGCACCATTTGTATATTGTGTACATCTGATGTCCAGTGTTCACGGGAACAAAAACCTTTTTAATAAATGTCGCTCTTGTGAAAACTACTTTTGTCGATCAGCTGTGGATTTGTTCTTTACTGGAAATATATGCTGAAGGGAATCCTGTCAAATACAAAACGTATACAAACGTTTACATGGACTCATGGATGAACCGATTAGAATTTGTGACCGCACAAACTATTGTTCTGTCTTCTGAACGGCTTGAGGGAATCCTTTCAAATTTGGTACAAATGTTCATTTAGACTCACAGAGTAAGTTCGTTATTTAGATGTGGGGGCTTAAAGTTCGTAGGTTTAGGGAATGTTGATGTTAGAGGTGAATCTGGTTGTGTCCTCTATGACCTGGAGCATGATGTAAGCAGGGAGGGGAACAGCAGCTGCCAGGTATTTATAACTCAACATACCTGGCAGGTGTATACCTGTAAAACTTACAATGTACAAGAACACTGGGAGAAGTCTGGTGTGTTTGACTTCTTGGCTTCATGCTCACTCATGGATTTACAGCTTAATGTCTCAAGGCAGGTGGGAATTTAGTTTCCCAGCAGCCAGAACCTTTGCTACGTGATTTTGATTAAACCTGCTGAAAAAAATACACCATCTCTCTATCACTAGAAGAGACACGTCTAAAAACATGGCGAGCTTCGTGTCTCATAAGATCTTCAGTCTATTCAGTACAGCTGAGCTTTCAACCAACAAAACAAAAATACAAATAAGATAGTTTTGAAAAGTATATACAATCCTCATAAGATCACAAACGTATTGAGATACATCTCATGTCCAGCATCACCCATTCTTTGTTTTTATCATAAAAGTCAATTGTCGTTAATTAATTAATTAATTCCAATAAAGTAAGTGAACACTAGAGGTTTCCTTTATTGTAATGTATGAATATGAGGCTCAATATAAAATCTAGATCGTTATGAAATGAAATCTTGAGTGTGGACATTAACACTATCCACCAGTGGCAGGTTCTGTAACCACAGCCTCATCGGGCCAACTGGCTTCGGATCCTCTCGACATCACAGTGACCCACAGTTGCATCTGCGGCAGCTGCTGGATGATGAACGACTGCTGGTTCCTCTTCTGGTTCTCATTCTGTTCTACGCCTAAAGTTCCCCCAGGATCAATAAAGTATTTATCTATCTATGCAGCAGAAAGTTGAGCAAATCACACTGAAGTGAGGGGTTCGATTCCCACTGGAGCCAACAGACAACTGCACTGTGCCTGAATACCATGTGTTTTTGATAAACTGCAAGATACAAACATTCCCATGTCTCCTATTATTTTCAGAGTTTGTAGAGTAGGTCACAAGCTGAACCTTCGACCTCACCATGATCCACTATGCACCACCAGAAGTAAAGTTTTCATCCCGACCTTGTGCGGCTGGCTGCCTTAAAACGTGACTGAAGCTCACAAGCTGTTGTTCTTTACAACGGAAGGTGCCACAAACAGTTGGTGTTAAATACTCAAAGTTTTGGTTTCAGTCTTCGTCTGTCTGTGGGCTTGTTCCCGGTGTTCCAGGCGTATTCTCTCACACCCTCACACTGTCTTCCTGGCAACAGAAGTTTGCCTGAGGATGATAAGGGAAGTTCCTTGGCCTCTCTGAGAGATTCCAAAACCTACGTGCAGCTCTCCATGCAATGAGATCACGTATGATAGGATCTTTCCGTCAAAACAGCAGTTAGTGGTATTGAATCAATCCGAAATAATTCAACCCCCTCACCAAGGATCCTGGTGACACATAGTGTTGTTCTGACACACTTTCCTGCTGCGTATGAGCGAAAATGAAACTCTCCCACCAAACCCCACAGGATCCTCCATCTGATGTCAATTGAGTCTTTAAAGTACCTTCGTTAAAAGAACCCAATGTATTTCAGTGCCATTTCTTCCAAGCTGAGACCCACAAAATATAATTGCGCAGTAGTTTACAACACTGTGTACACGAACAGAGTCGTTTCAAGAAAAACATGTCAGCTCCTTGTTTGACATTTTTACATCTAAATACCACAAATTTCAGCTCAGAAGAATTTAAGACCTCCAACAAAGATCGGTTTTACAACAGCAGAGAAGATTTATGTTATGACACCGAGAACTGGAGGAAATGAAATGCACAAAGACCTGTTTAAACGCCAGAGAAGAAGAGTGTGTGTGTGTGTGTGTGTGTGTGTCAAGTTTAGAAACATGAAGATCTATGTTCCTGTGCATGTGAACGTCCATGTTTGTGGTGTGGACTCAGTGTTCCCTAGTTTAAATACATAATTTTGTGTGAACTTAATTGTCTCTTTATGTGGAATGTAGAAAGGTGACGTCAGCAAGAACCAACTGTCGGAGACTTTTTTTTTAATGTGACTGCTGATTATCAGAGTTAACTGATGCTGATTGGCTGCTCTGCCGGAAATAATGTATAAAAGAGTGAGTCCAGTCGATCGGGGGTGAAAAGTAATCCATTAAAAACAGAAGCAAAGCAAATACTGCACTCTTTTTGGAGCAGCTTCAGCTTACTGCGTTATGTTTTCACTGCTGTATTTTATTCAAAAACTTTTTTCTCTTCCCTCAACATTGTGAAACAGGTTGTTTGACTTATTTCATGCATCCATCCATTGTTTTCCACTTATCCGGGTTCAGGTCCTGGAGAACAAGTAGCGTATTCCAGACGTCCCTCTCCCTGGCCAAGATTTCCAGCACTTACAGGGGATCCTGTGGGATTCCCAGTCAACACAGGATATGTAGTCCATCCATTGCGGTCTCGGGGGTCTCCTCCAATTGGGCGTGCCGAGTAAACTGCTTGCAGAATGTGCCCAGGATGCATTCTGACCAGATGCTGGAAACACCTCCATGAAACCGGCAGAGAAAACTTATTTCATCTGCTTTTATTTGGGATCTCGTTCTTTCAGTCACTAGCCAGAGCTCGTTACCACCCCCACCTTACTCCTGACGCCACACCAACCCTGTATCTCATGACCCTGAGATACTGCTCCTTCACTGGGGGCAGCAACTCAAGAGAGAGAGAGAGAGCAATCCACCATTTTCCAGCAGCAGAGAACCACGGCCTTGGACTTGGAGGTGCTGACTTTCATACAAAATGCACACTACAGATGAAGCCTTTCCCTAAACTCTTTCTTCAGCCTTAATTGGCATGTTGCTTCCTGACAGTTAGGTCATCTGTAATAAGATTTACGTCTAGAAAATTGTGATCTGTGAAAAGGTCAAGTACCAACCATCACCAACTCATTCTGTGAGTCTCCCTGGATACAAGCTTCCAACATAAGATGAACTCTGGGGCCAAAAAATGACCCTGCTCTCTTTTCTTTTCATCTACAAAGGTTCCAGTTCTCCATTAGATTTACAGAAGTATGAAGAATTCCCTGGCGTCTCAGCGCAGCTCACACACTCAAACATGCGCTCTTGCACTCACCTGTAATTTCTCAACCACAGAAATGATGACAAAATCACAAGCACACATTTATCTGCCTCAAACATCCCATTGAATCATGATTTTAACAGGAAAATGGGCGGACATGCACATGCAGGGACACGCCCACAGACTCTTATCTAACGTGCAACCCTCCAGGCGATGTGCCCGCTGTGTTCCACGTGCGAGTGCACATGCTTTTGTATTTGTGTCCCTTTCATGTGTGTACCAGCGAGGGTGGGAGGGGGGGCACGATGCCTGACCTTTGCTTACATTAAAAGAGGGCGATTAGGTCAAACTTTCATCCACCTCTTTGTTATCACCACCGACCGTCTCGTCCGTGTTCCCCATCAGTAAAAGGCCAAAGAGCTTTTGAAGTTATGTTTTTTTACTACTGTAACAGGGGAACCCCAGAATCTGTCTCAGGGAATCCTGCACGTGAGTCTCTGTTCTCGATCTTCACAGCAGCTTCTTCTTTTTTACTCACTTACACCAACATTAGAGGATTTTCCCAGTTTTTAAGTGAGTCATGTTCAACGTGTGAACAATCGGTAGAGATGTTTATTTCATGGAATTCTTTATATTTTAATTTTCCTCAGTGATTCTCAGAGAGAAACACTCTTTTTGAACTGATCTACAGTTCTGAAGTTCACTCTTGAACTCGCTGGACCTGATTCCGGAACAGTTGAAACTGCGACTGTCAGTCAGTTCCACACTTCTCACTGGAGATCGTACCCACTCACCAAAGTTACATAGAACAGACATTCAGGAGGAGACGTGGGAATGAAAGAGGAAACATTCTCTCTCTATTCTTCAGTGATGGAGAAACAGATATTCTAACAGGGATTTCACATTTCCCCAGGTATTACCCTGTACCTAACCTCTGACCTTTACTCGCCTTACGTAGCGGGGAATATGAGATGTGTGGATCGATGCACATCTTTATTTAGTCTGCACTTTGTTACGACAGTGGAACAGGGAAAGATACATGAGGGGGCAGGAAAGGGCAGGTGAGGTCAGGGTTTGTGACCTATGAGTAAACCCGATGACATCAAGAACCCCCGACACTCCACCGACCCGACATCAAGGCCTGGATAGTCCCCACTGTGGCACTCCCTGTCCCTCTCGGGTGGTCGACGTGTGTGAGCCGTGGTTGGCGGCGGATCAAACAATAAAAATTTTTTTTTCTGTGTTATGCAACAGACAGCGTACTGTTTCATGTTTCAAGAGGCTGCGTGTGGCAGTTTAACACCCACAGGTATTCTGTTCACAAAAGGCTTTAAACATTTACCACATTAACCTCTGGGGAAATTGGAAATGTCTTCATGTACGGTTGGTTTCTTTATCAATATTTCACATGAGTTTGTCTGTGAGAGGCGGAGGGTAACTAGGACAAAGTCAAATTTTAACTTTCTTTATTCTTTCAAAAATGAGAGTGCCAGAGAATCAGTCACAGCACCGTTCATCTTGGTGTGTAATTTACACCACATCCGTCTCACTTATTACCTCTATTACCAAATAAGCCCTTTGATGTGACACACACACACACACACACACACACACACACACACACACACACACAAACACACACTCAGGCACAATGTTGTATAATACAGCACTTTCTACACTCTTCA